AAAGTAACAGATGTACATTATCTCATGAGAGGCGTATTACCTCTCGAGAAGCATCACTAGCTCACAGTGTGGTGTATGGGGAAAAAGATCAACAGCCATTGCTTTCATGGGTTTGAACGGCTCAGAACTCGGCATGGACTTTGCCCTGTGTCGAGCAAGACCAGCCGAACTCATATTTCTCCATCCCCTGTTGTTCTTGTTATTTCCTTTCTCGATATTGTCGGGTGATGGTGTGCAGAGCTCGATAGCATTTGCCACCAGACTTTCGGGATTACACGAAATGTAGCTGAAAAAAGGAGAATCGGGTTTCAATTACATTTCCAAAATAAATTCATATGAAATAAAAACAAATGCTAAATTCACTCGAGTACAACTTACACAAGCCTCTTCAACTGCGATTGTGTGCGTATAACTTTGATCACCTGCATTCACACAAGTACATTATTATTTAGTGGAATGGAATAACATTTTCCCAGAAGTACATCGGGTGCAATTAAATACTTCAAAATCACTTACAGTGGGATGAAGTCCAACACGAGGGGGGTCCACTATAGCAACAACATTTTTGAACCGATGCAGTGGGGAATTATTCTCCGAGGTGCATTGCTTCTCCAACTGGGTTTCGTCTGTTGCACGTGTACTTGCATTAAACCCATTTTCAGGGTTAACGCTTGAGTTACTTTCTTCAGCAAGTTCAACTTCAGACTCCTCTTTGTTTTTTGATGCGATGCTGACATCATCACATGGCTTTTCTGGTAAAGACAAGTACTCTTTCATCAACGACCCAGTGACATCCTCAGCCTAATAGTGCAACAGGGCACATCGAATTAGCGCACCACAAATTACTACATACTTGGTCAAGATTGATCTCCCAAGAAAGAACAAGGACAAACAGAAAATATACTAACCTTTCCACAGACAAATCTGCAGTTCTTTATGCCGTTAATTTCTGCATTTCTCTGTGCATCTAAAACTGCAGAAGCATTCATTTCAATGCCGACCACCTGAACAAATTGAAGCTCATAATCATTTATCATTCTAAGGAACTAATATGGGGTGGCTGGGAGATAAAGAACTCCATATTACGTTATCTCATCAGATAATATAACTTGTATATAATTTGCCATCAATTTTCTGTCTCGATAAATTATCTAAATTTATACAATTGACAAATCCTACAAGCAATGCAGAAAAAAAGGGAGATTGATGTAATCTTAAAATGGACTGTTAAGCATTACCATACCAACACGATGGGCTAAAGTGAGGCCTATTGTCCCAGTCCCACAGCAAATATCAAAGAGTAAAGTGTCGGGACCAAGACCAGCCCAGTCTCCAGCAAGTGAATACAACTTCTCAGCAGCAAGCGTATTAACCTGCCAGAATTTGAAAACAAATTGAAATTAACGTTGTGTAATTTAAGAAAGAATCTTTCTACATTTTTTACTTTCTCTTTGGGTGTATCTTACATGGGTTGAATTTCAAAACGTAATCCGGTGATTGCTGCACCTGGAAGAAAGCTGATGGCGATATAGAAAACCGAAGATTGCTGATGTGGTCCTGAATTCTTGGTTCTACTTCCTTTGTTATCTCCAGTACGCCTTC